GAAATTTGCATCTACATAATCTTATTTCCATCCAGATTTCGTTTTCAAAATAAACATAAAAACATATAATTGCAAACCCAACTAATGGTGGCAATTGTCTGTGGTTGTTTAATGTCTTGTAACGGATTACGTCGCAGAAAGTTTGAATAGAACTGCAACCGCAGATGCAAAATAACTAAGCTCAAAAATATGATTTTGAGAAAGGCTGCATTTCAAAGCTGCATTTCTTTATCTAGATCAGTTGAACATGATGCTAGCAAGTAGCAACCCCAAAGTCATTGATTCCCAGTGCATACTTTGAATGTAATATAAGTCACTTTGGATAAAAGCGTCTGCCAAATGTATTGACGTATTTAAAGCTATCCTACAGCTCCAGATAAATTCAGAGCACAAGTGACATGAGGACACTCATGAATGACAAGAGGGTGAGAAAATAATGAGCAAATTGTCATTTGTAGGGAACTATTTCTTTAAATAAATTGTCTGTAAGAGCTTTAGTTCCGTGTGTGTGTGCTCCGACAGGTGTGCATGGAGGAAAGGGGGGGACGTTCTGACTGGTTGGCCACAATGGAAACTCCACACTGGGCAGGCGGCAGTGAATGCACATCATAGTGCTGCTGCTCGGGTTACTCACCTCTCCTACAGCAGCCAACCCCACTCTTTGTCTCAGTCCATGCCGATGAAAACACTGGGGACCAGGCGACATGCCACGGCTCCAAAAAGTCAATGCGTGCCTGTATGTGTGCATTTTTGAGGCACTCTATGGTCTGTCTTTGAGTGTGGGGCTCAGCGGATCTCCACACTGCAGAGCATGTATGTCTCATTATCAAAGTCAGTTTAGTCATCACCAATGGGACTAAATCTACCTGCCCCCTTTAAAAGCACATATAGAGAAGAGTAAGAGTTGAGTTACACAAAGAAACTATGACAACTCTAACTATAAAGTTATAATCGTTCTAATGTTATGAGAATACATAGAACATATCCACAACACAACTATAATGATAACGAGGGAGAAACAATATGATTGGAATCACTTTCATTGACAGCCAATCAGGATCCCTCTGACTTTAAAGGGGACCTTTTATTCCCCTTTAAAAAGTCTTGATTTTGTTTTTAGTGTGTACAAGAATACGTTTTTATGCTTGACTGTTCAAAAAACGCATTATTGTTCACATATTTTACACTATTGCAGCTCCTCTCTTTCCAGTCTGTCCCAAATGCACTGTTAAGTAGCCATTTTGATGAAGCCCCTCCTTCTGAAATATGAAATGTGCTCTGATTGGTTAGCTGGCCCAGTGTGTTGTGATTTGCGAAGCGCTTAGAGCGTGTTCCCTTATAGCATAACCGCGAGTTTCATCTGCTCAGTAAATATTAATAATTCTGTCAATTTTCCCCTATCAATTCGAGCCTGATTCAGACCCTGAGGAAGTTTATAAACAAGAGGAACATGCAGAACCTTTGCAAGCACGGATTTTCCAGGACGTTTCAGAGTGGTATGTTCCTAAAGATTGGTGAACAGTCTTACAAAAGCGAGAGCCCCGTTAGCTAAACACTTCATCAACACTGTAATGTTAGCTACTAACAATAAAGCATAGATATTGTGATCCATAAACAATTGATTGTCCCGACAAATGAGAACTGCTGCATCTTTCAGGAGACGCTTTTGTGCGTAGCCAGCATTGTACTCTCTTAAGCACTGGAAGCTTTCCTCGGTAAAATGTGCAGATAAACGTTTGGGTTATAATGTTCAGGAACAGTGTTTCATGATACAACTTCAGTGTTTGCTTATTTCACTATATAAAATTATCGTACATTGGTGTGTGCACTAATGTAGTAATCACTATTTATCATCCTTAATGGGAATGGGAAGCAGTTACAAAATAAAAAGGAGGAAGGGGATCTGGTCAAGGTCATTTAGATAAGGACTGTAAATTAGTTATCACAGAGATTCTGCACAAAAAAGGAAGATCATAAAAGAGTTGTTTTGCATCTCACTATAGCTCTTATAATTTAGTGTGTTATAATTTTTGTTCACTGGAGTGTAAAATAGTGTAGAGATGTGCCAGTACATCTGCAATCAAACAAAAGGTCATCACCACAATGACGAAAGTCTTCGTTCGAAATACCAACAACCCACTTTAAAACAATAATAATTAAAAACGGGAACAAAGATCTAAAATAATTTTGTATAATTTAGCTTTGCATGCACATCAATGCTATTTTTGCCTCCATAAACATGGAGTCATAGCACCACCGAGCACACTTGTGCAGGAAAAAAAATCATTCATTATTAATTTATTAATAGTCTGAACCTTATTTTAAAAAAGGACGGAAATATGGTAATGAACAACAGATGCTGATGGAGTGCTTGAAAACATTCCTCCATCACATGGAGTAGCCTACTTGAAAACATTCATTGTCAGACGTGACTGATTAGATTGAATAGACGCACGGAGCTGTAATCAGACAGGTTAATGAAGCCATTAGCCCATCTCTCCAGTCACAAACATCATTTCTGCCTCTTTTGATGGGAACGGAGCGGCGCGTCAGTGCTCGTCTGTTTGTTCAACCAGGTCAAATTCAAGTACTCACAATTCTGCTATCCCTTGCACACAAACTAAATACAACACACAGTTGAAGGGAAATTAGTTATATTCTGAACATTAAGATTCATGTTTTTCTAGTGCTGTCAATCGATATTTTTTTTAAAGAATTAATCGCACATTAGGTTTTTAATATTTTTATATCGTAATAATTCCAGTTATTCTTCAAATCAATGTAGAAACAACTTAAAGACAGTATATTTAAATTATTTGTTGCATTGGCATATTTTTATGAATGAAGGCCAATATCACTGATATTGATATTTTAAAGCATTAATTATAGACATTCAACATTACAGTATAATTGAAAGCTATCAATTTCAGACATTTATTAGGCTATAAAAATAACTTTTAATTTAAGTGAACTTAAAACTTAACATAAACCCATTATAATAAATCCCATATTTACTTGTGGCACCTTCCTACATTCTAACAGATATAATATACAGAAATTCAATAATGTTCTCAAACACTTAACTGCGTAAATTAAATAGTGTTTATCGTTAATTTGTATCGTTTTGTAGAATCCTATTATTAAATACATTTATATAGATAAATCCTTATTGTTCTTTGATTAACATTAATGACAGACATCACAGTACCGGGTTTATTAGGCTGCTCTAACTTTAAGATCTGATGCACATGGAGAGGGTCTGACATGCATCCCATTTTCTCATAACTCTTTAAGTTCATTTAAGACTTCATTTAACTCATTTAAGAGTGCTCTTATGACAATACTCAACAAAATACTCACCCATGTCATTCCAAAGCGCTATGACTTTCTTGTTTGCATGCAATAAAAAAATGAGATGTTTAGCAGAATGTCCAAGCTGCCCATATACCCAAAAGGAAAGTGAATGGTGACCATGACTGTCTCTGTTCAACATCCACAAAGAATGTTTGGAAGGACTTTTTTTGTAAATTATCTTGCTTGCTAACATAACATATTGGACATAAAGACTCTTCTGTACTGAGAATATTTCACAAACCAGCATATTCTGTATGAGATGGTAAAAACATACTTAGCAAATGTAAGGCTGATTCATTGCAACTATAAATTATTTCTGTCTGTAGTAATAATGGCATATATACACACGCACACACTCACACAAAGCAGACAGATCACACATTACAATCCCTATAATCATTACGCTTGGCTCCCTGGAAAACATGCCTAGAGGAAAAAGCCGGCGAGAAGTGTAGCAGCTCGGCTGTTAAATTAGCCCAGGCATGCGTTAAACAATGTGGCCTCAACTGGTGTTCCCTCACAGAGCATTACACAAACAAACACGCACAGCAACACACAGGTATGTTACAGGTATACTAAAAAAGATTATGATGATCTAACTTGGAGCTAAGGCGCACAATGACAACTGTCAAAGGTTATATTAACACAAACAACCCCTACAGGAATATGAGCAGGCTCAGATGCTGCAGCCTCTAGTCACCACACACACACACATCTACAGCCTAGAGCAATAGAGGAACTCTCCAGAAGCACCCAAATGACTGTAAAAAATTATCATGCTCAACCTCTGTCGTTGTTGTTTATAGGTTTCATTTTAGAGCTGAATCCAGGGCTCAAGATATATGATTGGAAAGATTGCGAATTAAGAAACGCACAAGATATCGGTTCTCAGACAATCTTACAGATTATTTTGTATTATTGTATAGGGGGTTGATATTGAATATTTAATTATGCAAGCTCATTTCCTTTATTTGTATATTAGGATTACTTTTGCCATCATCTAACACACACTTGAACTTAATTTTTTTAAACAATAATAAAAAAAGAACACTTATGCAATGCCTAAATTTGTAGCTATCAGCTTGTAACATGATGACATCATTTGTTGTTGTTGTTTTTGTTCTTTTAATTTATTGAGACGTAGTAACGCGGTCTTTATCATTTTTGGCCAAAAAACGCGAATGATTATCGAAAAAATATAGTCGGCCAGAGTTTTTATAGTGGTGCATCCTTACAGCAAACATGATAACGATAAACAAAAAAATACGCACAAAGAATACAATGGAATAAGACATATTCACAAACAAGATATACCTGGTCATTTTATCTTGTCATAAACTAAGGAAGTTCAACTTAGGAAGGTGATTGTTTGGTTCCCTTAGTCTTCCATTTGAGGGTCAAAATCCCTGAGAATGGACAGCGGGAGTCTGACCAAGGGTGAAACAGCTTGTATAGCTGAACACCCGCTGCTAGAACTGTGACCTTCAACGTCAACCTGAATTCATCTTGAAGAAACCACTGTGAAATATACTTGCTCATCAGGTCATTTTTAAGTTAAAAAGAGTGGCGTTAAGAACGTTTTGAGTGCCAGGGGAGTCCGCAGCACTTAACACAAAGCCTTGGAGAAGAACCGAGGCAGAACTTACCCAAGATCATCCTGAAAGCCTCGCTCCTACGATAAGGATCAGCTCTCTTTGAATTCTAATCCAGGAGAGCACAAGTTCTTCTCCGTGCTCCTCTCAGCGTCTCTCTTCCAAACCAGAAGTGAGTCAAGCAGCCAGTGCAGAGTAAGCGAGAGCATAGCTGTTGTCCATCCTGTATCTCGTATGTCCTCTCTCTCCAGGTGAATGAGCAGTATTCTGAGGGGAGGGATCTGCAGGTCTTCTGCCGTCTTCTCTCAGGTGAGTCAGAGGGCAATGTGGGGGAGGTTCCAGAGATGGGAATTGGGGGGTAGGGGGGGTGAGTGTCAGAAATGCCAGAGCCTTTGGTCAGTTAATGAGCCGAAATCCCTGCAGGCGCATCGGGATGAACCGTGCTTCTCTATAGCAAACACAAGATGAACAGTTTCCCTTCAACAGGAACATTTCTCAGATAACATGAAGAAATGCCTCAGTAGCACAGTCAAGCCGGTATCTGCGCTGCGCTCTCTCTCTCTCTCTTTCTCTCCCTATCTCTCTCTCTCTCCCTGCTTCTTTTTTTGGGGTTGGGTATAACCTAAAGGCACCTTCCAAGCCTGCGCTCTGATTGGTGGCAGTCCCAACCAATTGGAGAGGCAGCAGCCGCTTGTCATCCTGCAGAGTGGAAGGCATGGAAGCATTGCCACACACTCTCTCCCTCAATTTTTCCCTCCATCTCTTTCACTCTCATAATCGGTCTGTTTATGGCAGTCGCGACTGTGGTGGTCACTTCTCCATCTCTCATTCGTCTTTTTCGCTTTGCAACCCTGTGACGGTGAACTTCTAAGGGGATTAACGTCCTCTCCGCAACTCCATCTCTCCTTTAGTCTTTCTTTTGCTGGAAATATTTGTTACCCAAAGCTTTTCTCAATAGTTTGGGGAGATTTGAGATAGAGGACAGAGCGTTCGGAAGAGATGGAACGGAGAGCGACAGAGCAAAGGAATGAGGAGGAGGAGGGGGAGCTTAAACTAAATTCAAACTGACAGAGGGATGAGGAGACATGGAGTGACACGGAGAAAAGACTGGAAGGAATGAGAGAGACAGAGAAACTAACAAAGAGAGAGAGAGACCGACACAAGCCGCAGTCTTATTTAGCAAAACTGGCCCAATTTCATAACGTGTCGGAATAAAATCCACCACAAAAAGAATTTAAAATTGAACATCTTTGGTATGTAAACGTTTCGGCTCGCCTCGGACAACACCTGAGCTTATGGCAACCTTTCCAATGAAGCAAAGCCATGCTGCAGGGGTGAATCGACCATTTAAAAATAAGGGCTAGAGAAAAAAAGGTGTCAAAAATGAATTTTCTAAAGGCGCATACTTGCACACACACTACGCACACTTTAGCCAGGGGCTAGAAAAATTGCAATTCTTTTACTTTGTCTTCCCTTTTGTTCCTTTTACCTTCTCTCTCTCTCTCTTTCTCTCTCTCTCTTCTGTTGTCTCTGGCTTGTGCAGTAAGTCAGCGAGTGGGGATGTGAATACTAAGGAGGCTGGCTCACACTCTCGATAGTGCACTGCACAGAAAATAAAGAAGGGTGGGGAAAATTGGACATATAATCTCCGTTAAAAGCGTGTGACAAATGCATAAATGTAAAAAAAAAAAGACTAAAAGGTGCATTGCATGTGCATTTGCACGCCTGCCGTCATCTGATACCAGAGGGCTCTCATACACACTATTAAACCAGCACCTGAGCAAACAGCTCATAATGAGGATGGACTTGTGTCTGTGTGATACACCAATGGGTAAACACACTGATACAGGTGAGGTCTTTATACTGATCATTACTGATTAACTGCATATTATTGGAGCTTTGCTTAATCATTCACTTTGTAAAGGTCAGGAGGAAGGTCGTGAATCAGGGTTTGTCATTTGTGGATGCAAACGGCGACAATGCTAACAAAATGCACCCCCTCATGTTGAGGATGTGTTTTGGATGCTGGTATGCTGTTGTCTTTACCAGGGAATGGGCAATCAGGGACTGTCCTGCGGAGTTTTGGTCCAATCCTAATAAAACACACCTGACGTAGCTGATCAATGTCTTCAGGATCACTAGAAGGCTACAGGCAGGTGAGTTTGTTTTTAGGGTGGAAGCTAAACTTTGCAGGACAGTGGTTATCTAAGACCAAGTTAGTCTCTTCCCTGTCCTAAAATTGTCATGTTAGCATTCGTTTTCTTGACAAGCTTTCCATCTCTAATTAAAAACTACACTTATTGGGATTAAATACATTTATTTGAATTCCAATTTATTTAAATTCAAATTAAAAATGCAAATGAAAAAATATACTACTTTGTCTAATAAATAAGTGAAAAATTACATTATAAACTCAAAATCATTTTAAATGCTGAATTTAGGCATCGCATTAAAATGTACAGTAAAAAATAAGTGTGCATAGAGTGTACGTGATTTGCTCATGATTATATAGCAGTCTTTTTAAATTATTTTATTTTAAATAATTACTTTTTTAAGATGAACTTTAAATGAACATTGTGCATTTAGATTACCTTTGCCTTGCCATTGTGTAAAGTTGAAGAAATAACCACAATCAATCAAATATTGACTTGGGCTGCATTTCCCAAAAGCTTTGTGAGCCTAAGTTGATTGTAGAGACTATTGGTTGCAGTGGTTTCTACAATCTACATAAGCTTATGATGCTTTTGGGAAATGCAGACCTGTTTTTTTTTTTTTTCAGTGGCGCCATCTGAGCCTTTGAACGTCAAAGCATTGATAAACAGGTTGATTAAATGGACCAGCCCAGTCCTGGCAAAACCGAGTGATGGACAGTGTGCCAGTGTGTGTGGCAATGCAGAGCTCACACAGTAGTGTGACCGTGTGTGTCTCATGAAAAGAGGGGATAGGGTTCCCTCATTAGTTGTGTTGGGATCAATAATTCAGAGCAGGGCCTTGTTGAGCTCAATGGTCCAAACGCTAATGTGCTGTCTACCCGCTAGGGACTGGGACCCAGCAGGACTTTAATGGATGTCATGATGAGAGGGTGAAATCCAAGAGAGGGGATCCTCTTGCAACCCCTGGCTGCATGTGCGTGTGTGTGCGTGTGTGAGGTCTGGGATGGGTATGGTCACAGCATGAGGAGAATAGCTATTAAAGAACAGGTGTGAACAGAACATCAAGAGAGCTGAAGATGACAAGTCACCCTACAGTAACTTCCACATCCCAACAATTGTTACTCAATTAACTCAATTAGCTATTTCTGTGTGTGACAGGTTTGGCACCACAGAATCACATCCTGACTACCTTGGAGTCATTAATGACACTACAGATTAAAAAGAGAGAGAAAAAACGCTACATTTATAAACATGTTGACACTTTAGAAAAGTTCAGCATTTTTACTAGGATAATTTTTGAACATATGTTTTACAAAAAAAATATGACTTCTTTAAAATAGGACTTCTTTATTTTTTTATGTTTATGTTAAAACTTCCTAAGCACATGTGATACTTTATGTATTGCATTTTCTATTGGGTTATACAAAAACCTAGCCTAATATTTAAAATAATACATAGTAAACTTCAGGAATAAAACTTCAAGATTGCTGGTTTAAAACCTTGCATGGGACCAATCGAAGCCAGTTTGCCGACAAAAAAAAACAGGCTGTAGATATAATTGTCCCTTAGTTTTCATACCTGTAAAGGATAAAAATAGTCAATTACATGTCATCTTATAACCACAGTGATACTGCTGCTTGCCTCAAAAAGCAAAAAAGCCATATATAGCTACAGCCTATAAAATGTTTTTCAGTTTCCTTTGAAACAATGTCTCAAAATAACGTGGACGTGACCTGCGAAGCGTGATATGAAAGCATGTAAAAACTCTCCCGTAAGATCCATGAGAACATGTTTACACTCATCCTATGGGATGACACAGTACACGAATGTCCCACCCCTACAGAGTAGAAGCATATCCTCATTAAAATATAACACGACAAGAGTACTGTTACTCTGAATCAAAAGCAGTCTGTTCTGATATTCCGACAACGACATGTACACAACTGTTCAATAAACAAAAATGTAATTTTGAGTAAAATATTTCCAGTAATCACTGCCTGTTTTTGCTACATCCATCCAGATTACATTAATAGTGCACACATTCATACTATATAGAACATACTTCTTTTAGCAGCCATAGTATCTAGTACCTCTATAATACAATATATAAGTACATACTATTTATACTATTAGTATAGGATTTGGATTTTAGTATAGTAGTATAGTTTTAGTAGGATTTTAGTATAGGAAGTAGGCTATGCGATTTTGGACGCAGAGGCTCAGTTCAAAATAACGTACTAGCATACTCCTAATTTTTATAGTAGTATGCTCTCCGAATTCAGCCAGTCATTTTTCTCTCCAAAATGATGTTTTGAATGAATTGATTGAGCGAAAGAATCACTCACTAGACTACAGACTAAGTCATTTGTCACCCCCTACTGGCTAAACGTCTGAAAAAGTCACTGAAAAATCAGCATATAAATCAATTGCCAGGACATGACAGCTTAGTCTGAAAAAGATACCATACTTTATCACAATAAGTGGTCAAAAAAAAATGTGGTCACCCTAAGGACGCCGGCCCATGTGAGGCTTTGCTAGGCCAAGAGTCTGAAGAGTGTAAGTCAAGTGCTGCTGTGTGAACTCTATAATCTCCCTGCAACCATATGGAGGGAACAGAGAGAAAGGCAGAGAGGCTGGAACACCTTTGCTTGCCACTATTCAAGCATAAAAGCCCACTGCCAGAATGAAGCTGCACTGCGACACAGACTCAGAGCACAGGGCCTTGACTCGCGGTCTATTAGTCCATTTCATTATGTTTGAAAGCTCCTCTCTGTATGACCCCTACAAAGGCAAACGCACTCTGCTGCCCTCTGCAGGATCAGAGTTCAGAATCATACATATGCACAACATAAATACTGTAAAGCAGCATTGATTTATATTATATCATTTATATGATGTTGGCCTGAGGAAAATTGACATCTTCACCCTTTCTTCAGATATCATTAAAAATGTGTTAACATTTTTGTAAGCATACTGCATAGTTGTGCTTGGAGTCAATTGTTTTATTTGTGATAACGCAAATAACGCACGGCAAAATGTACAGGCATAATTTTTGGTCAGGCTGGAATACAAAAAAACTAGTGAGAACCAATGAAATATTAATAACTATGTTGTATTATGTTGTAGTTGATTAATTCTTTTTTCCTTGTGCTGCATTTGTTGCATGTAGAGGTGTAGTAGTAAAAAAAGAGGTGGGTAAACTATAAATTCTGTAAGGTGTATGTGTATCCTGATAACATTGCTATATAGGGAGGACTCGACGACATTATGACTTTTCATACGCTTGTCCTTTGGAAATCTGTCATTCACTTGTCCAAGTAAAAAAGTTGCTCGTCCGGATTTTTAATTTTTTATTTTTTTGTGTCAATTTATTCTGAAACAATTTTCTCTTTAGTGTTCAATCAGCTTTGAT